TATTGAATCTCTATATTCATAATCACAGAACTATAGGTTCATAATTATGTTCACAACTCTATATTTATAATTATAGAACTATATGTTCACAATTTTGAACTATATATTCATAATTATGAACAGTTTTGGAACAGTGTCCACCTCGCAGCATAATTTGCCTAGCATAGAGGGATACATCGTGCAATGAGATTATAGTGTAGGAAGCTTTAGATTTGGTTTGCTGTGTATATGACTGTAATCTTAGTTGTACTATAAACTCTTTAACTTACAAACACCTATTGATATTTGGTAGTCGTAGTTTTTCTTCTACATGTTTCATGTGTTGTGAGATGTCTATCGTAGGTTATCATGTGAAAGTATAGAAGAAAATATTAATATTTATTATATTTGTATAAAATACTTGGTAAATAAATATATATAACATATTTTGTATTATAACTTTGATATTTAATTACAAGATAATGTAAAAAGAAGACAATGGACAATGTAGTAAATATAATAAATTAATAAATTTGAAGGTAAGGAAACTTCGAATTGTAGAAAATAAAGATAATATAACGAATGAAGTTATATCTCTTTTTAAATTTTTTTATAATGAATATTTTTTAAAAATAATGGCATTATAAACTTTCTCAACATATTAAAGCACAAAGAGTCAACAATACCTCCAATGAGGCTTGATCTCATAACCTCCCATATAGGTGAGGTCACTACACACCATCTGAGCATAAGGTGTTTGGCATCTAATTTTAAATTAATTAAATGCATATGTAATTATTTTTTGTTGCAGCTACTAATTTATTTTAATTTAATAAGAGTACTAAAATGACGTACATACTTTTCATCAACAATAATGAAATTATTGATTTTTTTTAATTTCCATCCGTTGTTGAGATAATTTTTTTTGAGAGTTTGTCAATGGCAATTGCTACAATTGCTGTCAATTGCTAATAAATAATTCAAAAGATATGGTCACAATAGATATTGTTATAATGATATAGTAAAAATTAAATTAACTTACAAATTTCTTTAGAAGTTTTCATGCATTAATAATACTCTGATGTGTAAACTTATTCAATTGGGGCTAGTGGGATGTCAACATTGACAATTTTTTGAAAAATGGTCGTACTGTTTTAGTGTCCAAGTGTAATTGTATTTATGATCAACAACTTTGTAGTTAGGTTGCGCAAGTCTGACAATGATATAAGAACAATTTTTTCCGATAAAAACCTAATAGTATAATATTTGTAAAGTAATGTACAATTGTACCATTATAAAAATACATACAAAAAATATTAATACCATAATGACCTAAGTCATTCCAATAATGCAAAAGCATAATTCAAATATTAAGTTTTGTTCTAAATAATCAAAAGACGATTAATTAAACAAAAAAAAAAAAAAAAAAAAAAAAAAACCTTAACTTAAATTTGTTTTTTTTTTTTTTAAAAAAACACAAGAAAATCAAATGATTTTTAAAGTTCATGATTTTTTATAGTCTTTGATGCTCAACTTTGAATGCTATGTATTTAGTAAGACTAATTATTTTGCCAAAATTTATTTTAAATTTTATATATATATATATATATATATATATATATATATATATATATATATATATATATATATATATATATATATATATACACACACACACACACACACATTTTAACATATTCGTAGTATATGTTTAACAATTATGTCAACTCTAATTGGGATGGGTTCAAGCCTAAGATCTTTTTTATAAAAATTAATGAGTAAGTTAAGAATAATAAATAGTTAACAGAATATCCCGTTACTAAAATTTATACTAACGGAAATTAGGGATACTTAAGGGAAGAAAATAATATAATAGAGGGTAAATAAGGAAAATCATTAAATAATACTAACATTAATTAGATTACCTATCATTATTGGCTCTTATTAGACTTGTAGATGTAGATAGATGGTGGTGTTGGTGGTGGTGGTGGTATAGACACACACAAACACGCGCTCTTTTAATTCTATATTGATAAGTATAGTCTGTGTATATACTTTAAGAAAATATTCATTATTGAAAATGAGATATAATTTAAAAAGTAAATTATTAATTAGATTACCTAATATAATTGTCCTACTAATTGATTCCATGCTACTATGTATAATTCATATATTTGAATACTTGTTAAAGCTAAATACCTATTAATTGTCTTAATAATAATTAAGATAATTTTGAGTCAATCAATATTCAATATTACTAAAAGTATTACTTTGAATTTTTATAAATAAGATATAATATTATTAAACTGAAATAATTAAAAATAATGTGTCCATAGTACAAAAGATTTTATAATAGTAATTTTTATTGCCTAATAGAATTTCTCAATTATTAAACATTATTTATGGAAGATTTTTCTTTTATTAATAGTATTGATATAGAGTGGTGGAAATAATAATTTATTCCATATAAAATTACACCGAAATTATAGTATAGATATAGATTGATGTAAATTATGCTAGAACTTGAAGGGCAATCTCGTATCAGAAGGGGTAAGAGACATTTTAATGGAAGATTTTACTTTTATTAATAGTATAGATATAGATTGGTGTAAATTATTATTTACTTTTGTTAATACTATAGATAGATTAATTTCATTTTGAAATCATTGCTTCACATCTGTGCTTGTTTTTATAGTTATTTTGAATCATCAATTTTGCTTATTTAATACATGTTTTCCTTGCTATTATCATTTAATTATGGTTCACACTTGTTTTGAATGTTTTACGGTGTTTGTTAATGTTTTTGAACCATTTTGGGTTAAATATATGAGCAAGGGGAGTTCAAGGATGAGTTTGAAACAATTTTGGACAAGTTCGGAACCCAGAGAACTCGACGCGTCGAACCAAAGGCTCGACACGTCGAAAATTTTCAAAAAATATCGTGATCCAGACCAGTAGGGCTCGACGCGTCGAAAAATTCGCGAAACACAAAAGGCATGGCGCTGGTTCAATTTCCAAATGCTACTGGCTCTATTACATTGTAGTATCTGTTCGTATACTTTCTCAACCTATTGAAACACAAAGATCCAATAACACCTCCACTGAGGCTTGAACTCACAACCTTCCAAATAGAAGTCCAACCCGAGTACCATTAAACCACATAGTCTTGATGAAGAAAGACAATTTAATTCCTGATAAAAAAAAGGATTATTTCTCAATCATTGGCGCTGATTTCCATGCAAACCAATACAACATTTATATTCCTAATCAAATTGGAAGGCGGCAATTATTATCTACAATCTACATCTACATCTACAATCTATCTACATCTATCTATACATCTATACAATTCTAATAAGAGCCAATAATGTTAGGCCCTTAACTGGAATCTACATCTACATTTACATCTACATCTACATCTACATCTACATCTACATCTACAATCTACAATTCTAATAAGAGCCAATAATATTAGGCCCTTAACTGGAAAAAAAAAATATCGGTCCTATTGTTTCTTAAAATGAATGGTTCATATTATTTTTATTTTAGTATTTTTTTTTATTGATTTTCCTTATTTACCCTCTATTATATTATTTTCTTCCCTTAAATAACCTAAATTCCGTTAGCATAAACTTTAGTAACGGAATATTCCGTTAAGTATTTATTATTTTAACTTACACATTAATTTCTATAAGAAAAGTCTTAGTTTCGAACCACATCCCAATTAGAGTTGGCATAATTGTTAAACATATACTACGAATATGTTAAAATATATTTAAAATATATATAATATAAAATTTAACATAAACTTTGTTTAAATAATTAGTCTGACTAAATACATAACATTCAAAGTTAAGCATCAAAAATTATAAATCAAGAACTTTAAAAATCATTTGATCAGAAAAAACTTAATATAAAATTTAACATAAACTTTGTTCAAATAATTAGTCTGACTAAATACATAACATTAAAAGTTAAGCATCAAAAATTATAAATCAAGAACTTTAAAAATCATTTGATCAGAAAAAAACTTAATATTCTTTTGATTATTTAGATCAGAAAAAAACTTAATATTTCAACCCTAATCCAGATTAGAGAGATTTTTAGAGTTCTTTGGAGACAAGAAAGAGCGAAATCAAGAGTCACAAGTTGTCTTGGGAAGCAAGAAGAAGACTAGGGAGATTTGGGAGAATCGCTTGGTCAATTCTTGTACTCTTTTGATGATTTGTAATTCTTTATTTATATTTGCTATGTATAATTTAGCCATGCTTGGCTAAATTCTATAAGGATTTTTTGGTGAATTTGTTTATGAACCTATGTGCCTAGTTCGTTAATTTCTTAATATATTTATGTTTGATTTTATGATTTGTGTTGCAATCTTGTTTTAACCTGTTGTTGTTGGTAATTAAAGGCCTAAATTACTAGCTTCATAGTCATGTTTGTGTCACCAATGGGAATTTGGGCATAAATTAGGGCATAAATTACTAGGGATCGAGTCTAATTACCATAATTTATTACCTCTGTGACCAGTTGAGCTGCCCATGCGGGTTAATAATAAGGGCATTTTCACCTTTTTTTCAATTTAAGATTCCAATTTGAGCATGAATAATGGAATTTAAGTCCTAAGATTGATCTCAATTCGCAGTTCTCCTCCTCCTCATACATTAATTTGAAGACGAGAATTGCGAATTGGGATAGATCTTAGGGCTTAAATCTCTTTATTCACGCTTAAATTGAGATATTAATTTGAAAAGGACGAAAATATCTTAAATAATTTCATATTCCCCACATGTCTTAAACGAATGGGTAATCAGCGTGATGAATTTTGACACTAAAATAATAATTGTGAATAAAAATTAATACTAAAATAATAATTGTGAATGAAAATTAATAAAAATTAAATATGTAAACCAAAATCATCATTTTACTAATACTCGTAAAATCAAAATTGATATTTGCTCTCTAAATACACTAGAATTCCTTATCGGATTTCCAAAAAATTCCTTCGCACATATTCGCAGGTCGTCGTATAATGATATAATTTGTGGAAAGGTTCTCTACGTCAATTCGTTTCTTGTATTGAGAGGCAAAAGGCAATACAGAGAGGGAGACAGAGCGAAGATGGCTTGCCTTCACGATCACGACTGCGGAGATCACGACTGTTCTTCCAGTTGGTCTCTCTACAAACACATTGACCTCTCCAAGGTTCTCCCTCCATCTTTTCTGCGTTTTACTGTTTGCTCTGGACTGTATTTGAAACAGGAATTTAAGTATTATTATTGCTTGTATATCGTTGAGAGCTCCATTTCGATGTTGATTTCGCTTTCAAGAGTTGGAAATGGAAGGATTTTTACTTGAATTATTCACGATCAATAAAACCCTAGTTCTAAAATTTTCTCACTTTGGAAAATTATTATTATTTTTTTGTTATTTAATTATACGAGTGTTTTACTATTGATGAATTATGCAGGCTGCTACCATTTTTTTTTTTTTTGTTGGAAATTGAATTCCGTAGTCTCTATATCTTGAGAGTTGAGAGTCACTGGTCAATTCGGGTCATAGCTTTCATGATTTGAGCATCATGGTTGCTGATGTTTAAGGCTTTTCTTTGTTTAGCATTGATTGTTTGGTACTGAGACTAATGTTGGTGTCTTGAGTTTTTGGCCTTAAGGAGTTGCCAAATGAAATCTTGATGTGGGATCAAAAGTTTTGTTTTGAAAAGCAGCTGTATAAACACCTAAAAATCGGCATGGATATATTAGGACTTGTGTGTTTCCTTTGATTAAATGCATAAATATTACAATGATCTTATTCATGGCTTTAATATGAAAGGCATGATCTGGCAGGAATGTAAGATTTTACTGTCAGTTTGCCATTATCTTTATGGAGAGTTGTTGCTAACTCTTATCTTGATGCTAATACAGCTGGGGTTTTTATTGTTACTTTCGTTTTCTTATGTTCAGTGGACTTTTTACTTATTGATGGGAAGGGTTCCTTTCTCACAATTGTTTTCTATTTCTCATCAAACAATCTATACTTTTTGAGATTGACACTTTGATTTTCTTCTCCAACAGGTTACTGCTCTGAATGAGGCTGTCATAGGCAGTGTAAAGTCTATTTTTAAACCATGGGAACAGCGTCTTAATTCATCAGAGGTATTTGGTTTCTTTCCCTCTGTAATTATAGTCTTGTACTATGCTGCTTACAAACAAGTAGTTCTTCACTTGTTTGTGCCAGAGATAACTTTGGGCAAGTCCAGTAGAAAGTGTTTATGGCAAGTACAGGGGAAACTGAAAGTGTAAACATGAAATGTATTTTATGTTCAATTTGTCTTGTTTCTCTTTTGTAACAGTAAAATCTATGTTACCTGTGGAAGACTAACATTTTTGTGTCTGAAAGGAAGGAGCCTATAAATTATAATTGTCACATGAAAAATCTCAGATTCTTTCATCCTTAAAGGACTATTCCAAACATGATGTGTCTGTTGTTAGCAGGAGTTATGATACCTTTATTATTTATAAGGTGTTTCTTCTGCCATAGTGCCATTAAATTTTAAAACCATTTTTTGGGGATATTTGAAATTTTTTATTCATTGAATCTTTTTTTTTTCTTTTTTTTCAAATGTCAAAATATGGGAAAGACAAATAATTTCCTCCTCCTACTACCAACACATTCTGTAGCCATTGAAAATTTTCCCCGTTTTCCCCTCCTTTCTTTTCTTTCTTGTACTTTTTGTTTTACTATTCTGAAGGTGTCTACACTCTGAGTTTGACATTTTTTGTTGTCACAGGGTTACTTGGAGAGCAATGAGGGTGATCCTGAATTGATTGTCTTCATCCCGTGAGTGCTAACTTTTCCATGGAAATAAGCGATTTTCTTAACCATCTTACCTGCTTCAGTTTTACTGTTACTTGGTAGCTTCATTTACAATCAGTTGTGTGTTCTGTTTTACGTGTGTCCTCAGTCCTGGATGTTTGATATGTCATTATAAGGACATTTATGCTATATGTCAACAAGCAACTAGAAATGTTATAATTCAAATAATTTGTTTTCCACGTCTTGATATGACCTTCATATACCATGCTTGCTCTCGATTTGAATAATTTTTGTTAATATCTATCTTTAAAATGCCTGTCGACCTCATTTGCCAATGAAAAGCAATTGTAATATGTGCTCTGATTGCTTAATGTGTTTGTAGATTTGTAATTAACAGGTGTCAGGTGAACTGGCATGGAGTGGCCACTCCTAGATCCCTGTGGAATTTCATTTTCTCCTTTCGCTTTGTTTCAACCTGATAGGAAAGAATTGAACTAAATAAGTTAATAAACTATGCATGTGTTGGTTTTCTACTTAAACTGTACATCTGGCATTCTATGACCTATTGAAATTTCCTTTTTTTTTTTTTTTTTTTTTAAGTTTTATTTTTCAAAATAGTCTCCACTAGGGAGTGAAAGAAATAATGTTCCTTTGTTTTGCAGTGTTTTTAATTATTGATATCGCTTTCAAATTACTAAATTCCATTTTATATTGCTGCAAATCTTATGGATGCATTTACTTCTTGGAACCAATTACGACAGATTTACTTCGGATGTTAAAATCAAGAGCATTGCAATTGTTGGTGGTTCTGATGGAACAAGTCCTTCCAAGATGAGAGTGTTAGTGTGTTTCTTCTTCTCACTCCTTTTCTCCTTGACATATCTTACACTGTAATAGTGTAATATCAGTAATTTGCTGGCTAATATTTATTCTAGTGATCCTGGATTCTTGTGGGAGATGATTATGCATTAGTTTTTTCCTTAATGGGGAAGTTAGTTAATTTGTCATTTAAATGCATGTCTGTTAATTCTTTGCAGTGAGTTATGTCCGCTCCCTGCAATTTCCCCACATATTCAGTTCTTCCAACCTACTGCCACTCACTTACTCATCCCCTGCGCTGACAATGTTCTACAATAACTACAGGTTTATTAATAGAGATGGTATAGACTTTTCAGATGCTCAAAATATGCAACCAGTTCAGGTATTTAATGTTGATGGCATATAGGAATGCTACGTTTATTATGTAACGAAAATGCTAGCTGCCCCTACATCTACCACTCACAACATAGCCACTCCCTGATGTGGCAAGTTTAAATAGTTTTTTTTTTTTTTTTTTTTTTTTTTTTTTTCAAATCTCAACCTATTAAAACTTGCCACATGAGGGAGTGGCTATTTTGTGAGTGGTAGATGTAGGGGCATCTAGCATTGTCCATTATGTAATGTGCTACATTAATGAATAATTTTTACTTTTAAGGAATGGGATTTGGCTGAAAATTTGCAAGGTGTCCTAGAGTATCAAACAAGGTAAATGCTCCTTGCCCCATGAACTCTACAAGTGTTGTCATTTTATTGCCATAGTCAACTTTTCTATAGTGTTATTTACTGTTCTGGAACTCACACCACATTCCTGTGGACAAGAAAGGAGAGATATTCCAAGTGTTCAATGCGTAGACTAATTTGTTCCTAAAACGTGGATTACAAGAGTAGCGTGAACTGAATAACAAGATTGATAATTTGGTGATAAAATTGTGCAGCCATTGGCTGTTTAATATGTTTGTTGGCATTCGTTTTCTGATACCACCAGTTCACTAATTCAGGTACTCCAAGTTTCAAAGTGTTGGGAATATCACCTTGCATTTCCCTGACAGTTTTGGTGCAGATGTTACTCAAATCCATTACATTGGCTTAAAAGGAGAAGCCACCCAGGTGAAATAATTTCTATGAAATTATCTTATTTACATGGAGTTATTGGTGTTCAATCTAAAACACGAATTTAATGAAACATACAGATGAAGAGGGATGCTGTTGCAAATATTGTCTACGAGCTTATGCCTAATCCTTCCGATCACAAGTAAGTCACTCTTTATCATTGTCAAAAGGTTTCTAAATGTCACACTTGTTGATAGGTTAGGTTACATCATTTCCCAAGTTGGACATTTCATACAATAATAGTTATGGGTTTAACTAAATGATAATGTGTATAGAACGCGTGCTGAGCATGGTGGTGGCTTTTCACACGTGGAATAATGGTTCTTTCATGAAGAAGGGTCGAGAGAAAAATGGAGAAAGGAAATGGCGTCTTGTATTATCCCACAAGTAGTTATGAGTGGTCCAACGTGTGTACATTTGATGATCGAACACCACTGCCCTGAATAACAACATTTAGGAGTCTTGCATGCTAATATATATGGATATGGTTTTAACCTCTATCCTAATGAAGTTTGGAGTTGTCTTCTCATCTGTTCTGATGTGTCAATGTGTGAATAGGACACACAGGAAAAGAATGGGTTCAAATTCACTACGGAGTATCTTTTTGAGCCCATAAATATTTTGTCCACTCGGCCTAAATTTATGGAAAAGAAAGACTAAAGACCTAACTCCAGTGCTACTTTTTAACTTTTTTCATGTTACACTTTTACTGGCATTTATTAATTAATTTGGAATAAAATCAATACTCAAGAGACTATTTATGGTCAATTTGTTAGTTAAGGATAAAAATTAGTAGTCATGGACTCATGGCCAATGATCTTGTGGTCTAATGGCATGAATTGACTTTCCTGAATGGGAGGTTATGGGTTTGAGCTCTAGTGGGGGCAGTATTATATCTATGTGCTTTAATAGAGTCAGACTATTTATGATCCAATTAAAATTTGAGATAATGTTAATAATCGATCATTTTTGAAATTAAGTAATTAACTCTAAAAAAATATAATAACATTTTGATTTTGACTTGAGTGGTTATGTTAAATTTAGTCATGTTCCTACCACTTATATGTATTTATATTTTATAATATACTAAACCGTTTTACACTTTTACCTATATCATACAAATGGTTATGTTATTTGTGTATCTATCCATTATCATCGCTATTTTCATGATCCACTTGCTTTATTTTATCATCTCGCCTACCTACTCAGCTCCAATATCTTTACATCCATCGTAATTCAATGAATCGTCAAAATTGATTAATACTTATCATAAATAAATAATGAATATATAAATGTATGAATGAACCCGTCTGAAAATGCTTCGTCGTCAAAAAACCGTTCATTGGAAGTCCAGGACTTGCTTGAACGGAGCACCAAAAATATGAAAATTGCCATGGGAGGGGATGTTAACGATATGATGCTATGAAAGGTATTGAAACTACTGTTTCATTGGATGAAATGCCTAATGCTGGAGCTACCATGAACACGAACTCCGATTCCCGTGCAATAATTTGGAGTTTCAACCGCCACATGGATCGAGGCGATAGGAGAAAAGTGAACTGGACCTCACATCGGATGACGAAGAGGAAGGAGAAAAGTGAATTAGACCTCGCGTCGGATGATGAAGATGAAGACAAGAACGTCAGGAAGTGTGATTGTTGACTCAAAGACCTTGTCAAAGTTATGTGCAAAAAGGATTCCAGTTCTATGAAGTAATACTGTCCTAAAAGGAATAGATATTGAAGAATACTAGTTCTAAGAGGAATTGTTATAGTTCTAGTTTAACTAAGAATAGCATTATTATTCACAAATCTGTTAGAAGTAGCTACTATAAATAGGGGTTGTCCTTTATCACAGAAATCAAGCTTTCAAGATCTAACTTGTGAGGTATGAGAGTCATTGAGAAGAGATACCCAAATCCCCTAGAAAGTAGTACATGTGTTTAGGTTTCAATAGTTCGATAGGAAAGATCATTCTATTGTGTAATCTTAGGTTCCAAACAATGTACTTTAAATATTAAGCTTTTAGTGGATTTAGGCAAATTCTCAAATTGAGAAGTGCCTCGCAGATTAGAGTTGTTTGCCCGAACTGCGTTACAGATCGTTTGTGTTACAACGTCAGTTTCAACATCACTGTGTGCTGCGCTTATATATATTTCAATTGGTATCAGAGCCAAACTGCTTAAGTTATTAGCAGGATCCTAATGGAGTTTCCCAGAGAAGGATTGTCAAGCACCAGGCCCCTGCTCTCTTTGGTACAAATTTCTCCTACTGGAAAGCTAGAATGAAAATCTATATTTTGGCACAAGGAGAAGGAGTCTAGGAAGCCGTTGAAGAAGAATGGAAGATTCTAGTTGATGATAAAGGTAATCGAAAACCTAAAACAGAATGGAACGAAGAAGAGCGAAGGAAATATACTTACAATTCAAAATCAATGAACGCCATCTATGGAGCAGTAAGTGAAGATACTTTCAAACTAATCGTTACCACTGGCATAGCCAAAATTGCATGGGATATATTATGTAATCATCATGAAGGGAACACATTTGTTAGGCAATCCAAATTACAAATGATACAGACAGACTTTGAAAACTTGAAAATGGAAGAAGAAGAGAATATCACTCAATTTAGTGCGAGAGTTTTAAGCATCTCTGGAGATGCGTCTAACCTAGGCGAACCTATTCCTGAACATAGGCTCGTTAAAAAGGTCCTACGTTCCCTACCTGAAAGATTTATGATAAAGGTTACAGCCATCCAAGAAAACAAAGATCTAAACACCTACAAACTCAGTGATCTAATGGGAAATCTTCAAAAATATGAGCTTCAGATACTGCAAAAAGGGAAAAATAATGACAAAGGAATTGCGTTTCAATCTAAGCAGAAAGAGAGTCCAGAAATTGATACTGAAACCATGGAACAATCAATTGCTCTCCTAACAAAGAATTTCAACAGAGTTCTCAAAAAATTTAGAAACAAAAGTGCTTCAATCAATCAAGGGAACTCCCCAACTGGACAAAATCAGTCTACTACAAAAAGAAGGGAGATTCCAACACCTGAAGGAATTCAGTGCTAAGAGTGCAAAGGGTTTGGACACATCCAGTCAGAATGTCCAACATACTTTAAAAGGAAGAACAAAACATATGTGACATCACTAAGCGATGACTCAGACAGTGAAGAAGACACCAACACTAATTTCGTAGCATTCACCGCAAATTATGAGAATGACAACGGAAACGAAAATGATATACAAGAACTGCTAGAGTCATATACACAGCTGCATGCTAAATGAGAACAAATCATCAAGGTAAATCTAGAACTCATGCATGAAAATTAGTTTCTAAAAGATGAAAAAGAGAGTAATGAAAAACACCTTAAAGATACTCATAATGAATTAATGGGGTCAAAAGGCAGAGAGGCCAAACTGTTACAAGAGATCAAGGCACTAACTGAGAGGCCTAAATCTCCAAATCCAGCTTCAAATGAAAGTCGTTCTTCTGAAATTCCTGAAGTGTCGCAACATCACTTCCAACACCGAAGGAGGATCAAATGCTATTACTGTCATAGACTGGGGCACATAAAAGCATACTGCTTCAAAAGACAAAATGATCTTTATTACAGACAAATCAACAGAGAATGGTCCGTACAAAGCAAGAAAATCTGGGTAAGAAAAGATCAGAATGTTGCCTACACCTCAAAAACTAGCAAAGAACAAAACGTATGGTATTTTGATAGCGAGTGTTCAAGGCATATGATTGGAAATCCAGAAAATCTGAAAAACATTCAGTATAAGAATGAAGGACATATTACCTTTGGAGATGGAGGAAAATGCCAGATCATTGCAAGCGGCATCTTGAATGTCCATGGACTGCCTAGGTTGCCAAAAGTCATCCTAGTACAAAGTCTAAAAACAAATCTAATCAGCATAAGTCAACTTTGTGAAGATGAACTCAAAGTAGAATTCTCTAAAGAAAATTGCACCGTGTTTAATCAGAATCACAAGTGTGTCATGATGGGAAAAGGGTCCGCAAACAAATGCTATACATGGGATGGTGACCTATCTGGTTTACAGACAACCATCAAGCAAAAACAATTACGGCACCAACATATGGGACACATAAATTCTCATGACATCAAAGGGGACCAAGAAATATTCCTAGATTATTCAGGTTATACATCAAACAGTAGGGCTTTCAATATAGACAGTACAATGGAATCCATGAATGTGGTTATTAATGACACAATTTCAACAATAACCACTAATGATGACGAAAGTCCTAGAGTTGTTGAAACAACTGTTCCAACACCTCTGACTACTATTATGCAGAATCACAAAACAGAAACAGAACCAGATGAAGAAAAGGATGATGGCTCTGCAACGATCATTATGGGTCCTGTTCTGATTTCACAGGAACCCTACAAAAATATTCAAGACGAACGCGAACCACCTCCAGCCTATTTGTGCGAGACAGCCCTGAAGGGCGAGGGTGGTCTGGCGGTGGCGACGAAGCGTTTTCTGTCGATGATTATGTCACCGGAAATTGGAGAAATTCCAATTGCGTCTAGGTTATCTCATGAAGATCAGATCAGATATTTTAGAGATCATGTGGAAGAGCTTTCGCCGGATTTTGTGTTATTTCCATAAATTAATGATGGCGCAGAGTTAGTATATTCGAAATTCCGATCAGGAAATCTAGATGCGATCGTAAGGCAGAAGAGACCGATTGATGGAATCTCAGTAGATTCATGTTTGCATGGCCATAATACATCTCCGATTAAAAGATTCTCGACAGATTGTCTCAGCTTTGGCATCGCGCTCCTCCGATGTGCAATTTCCCTTCGGGATGTCGCGATTGAGGAGAAGTGATGAAATCAAAAGCGTTTGCGGTAATAACAGAGGAAGAATAAATCAGATGAGAAATTAGCTGTGATAGACTGATTTAATTGGGATTTTTTTTAAACAAATCATACTCAAAGATAGCACTCACCAATAACAGAGATACATGGAATCAGTTAAGGGGGAAATGAGTCAAATACCAACCTTTTATATGGAATCAAGGATTTTGCCAAAAATTTGACAAAGGGGGAGATTGTTGACTCAAAGACCTTGTCAAAGTTATGTGCAAAAAGGATTCCAGTTCTATGAAGGAATACTGTCCTAAAAGGAATAGATATTGAAGAATACTAGTTCTAAGAGGAATTGTTATTGAAGATCTTCTAGTTCTAGTTTGATTAGGAATAGCATTATTATTCAGAAATTTGTTAGAAGTAGCTACTATAAATAGAGGTTGTCCTTTATCACAGAAGTCAAGCTTTCAAGATCTAATTTGTGAGGTACGATAGTCACTGAGAAGAGATATCCAAATCCCCTAGAAAGTAGTACATGTGTTTAGGTTTCAATAGTTCGATAAGAAAGATCATTCTATTGTGTAATCTCAGGTTCCAAACAGTGTACTTTAAATATTAAACTTTTAGTGGATTTAGGCAAATTCTCAAATTGAGAAGTGCCTCGCAGATTAGGGTTGTTTGCCCAAA